TTGGCCTCCACTTCCAGTCTTAAACTCTGCTAGCCTGAGTTTTAGGAAAACAAGCTATCAGCAATCAACATTTCTTAGCATTACAGAGCAATAATAGCATTATAGCTGGTCTTATTATATGTTAAACTTATACCATAGGTTAAAATGTGTCCAGACAAAATCAGAAGTATTATAATATATAAACTGCACTCTCTGTAATTGGCAATCTGATGGCTGGGGGGGGGGGCATTTTTCTTTATTGAGCCCAAACCCCATTTAATTACATGACATACTTTTAAGTCTTTTTACAGATCATCCCATTTATATGGTATACAATTTAAGAGACTGTTTTCTAAATAATCTTAGTGATGCTGTGGCATTTATTCATTTTACAAGAAAAGACTGATGGGATCTTAAGGTCAAGCTGTTTCTTTCTTCCTCCCTTATATTGCCACAAGCAATAAAGGTTCTCCAGGTCGAACTATAACCTGTCACACTTGAATAAACCCACTGAAATCTAGCTGGGTTGCACAGGTTTAAGCAAGTCTCCTAACTTCTTTGTATCCTTGTAGAAGAAAATATGTTGTTGCTCCCACCCCCACATCCCCCTGACAAATCACCAAGATGGGTAAAGGACTTCAACTGTCCAGTGTTATTAACTGAGGATACAATCTGAAGAGTAATGGCACTTAGGTGGTGGCAATGATGCATAAAAAGTAAATGAGCAGAGATACAATTAGAACATGAAGCCTCTAAATGGAGGAAGTTTAAACATGGACTTCCCCCAGCGCTATTGGCACAGAGCCACTTTTCAGAGTGGAGCTACTCTTTAAATATAATAGACTGATATTTCATGAAGTAGAGACTTTTATACTATATAAAAAACACAAACACACACACACACACACACACACCAGTATATGCTGGAAGTCAGATGCACTTGCATCCTGTACCATCTGTAAGAATTTGATTCCAAGCTCCTTCATACCCCTTGTAAAAATTCCAACCTAAAATGCATCTTGCTACCTTAAATTATTGCTTGTAACATGAAGCAGTAACTATAACTTATAAACAAATTGAAACCTAGAAGCTCTTTCAAGGGATTCTTGGCTGTTCTTCACTGTAAGCATTTGGTGCAAGGTGTCTTCCCTCTTTTTGATAACTGGGTACACGTGGTTCTACACAAGTAGACTTACTACTCAGTATTTTTCTACATTGCTTTGAAATTCTTATTTAGTTATTTACAGTGCTGAGAGTCCTTTCATAAGATCATGTATAAAGAGGCGCATCTCCAGTGACACATTAACATTACAGAACATTGCCTATGAAAAACTCTGCAAGAATCATACATTTAAAGTTTCAGATGACTCACTCCAGTATGAAGTTAATTGCATTTAAAAAAAAGTCTGTCCACTTACCTGTCCTGGCTGTTCATGCTCCCATTGCAGGCTATATTATTCAGTGCTATGTTTTAATATACAATGGATGGTGCCTAGAGGTGGTGGAATCCCCATCCTTGGAGGTTAAGGCCTAGCTTGACAAAGCCCTGGCTGGAATGATTGAGTTGGGGACAGTCCTGCTTTGAGCAAGGAGTTGGACTAGATGACCCCCTGAAGTCCCTTCCAACCCTTCTAGATACCTTTAAGAAATGCTTAGATACTTATCTTGCTGGGCTAACTTCCTACTCCTTGGGCAGGGGCTAGACCCTATGATCTTGTGAGAGCCCTTCCAGCCCTAATGTCTATGACATCTATGAACCCTAATTTTCTATGGTTGTAAGGAGACAGCCCTAGTGATTAGGGCATTCCTCCACGTCAGTTGCCTTTCTGCTGTTCCCTTGTTTCAGGGGCAGAAGATAGCCACTAGCTACCTGTACCAGTGAATTGCAAGAATTTGCTACTGGCTCAGGTGTATAGGCCACACAGAAGTAGGGGATGGATCCATTATACTATTAAATCACCCCCACCCCCAAATAACTACTTGCAACTGAAGGGCATAAATGTACAGAACCTGCTTCCTGCTATGCTTCTAGGCTCACAAACTGCATAACTTAGTGAGAGTTATACAGCTTCTTAACACCTGTGACTTAGATAACAAGCTCACTCAGTCAAGTCCTGATGTGAAGAAACCAATCCTCCTAAATCAGCTTCACCTCTTCAAACAGAAGTGGGTTTTGGGAAATGTTCATAGGGCAAACAGCTGTGAAAACTAGAGACTTTACTCCACTTGGCAAAAGTTAGCTCAGACGCACATAGTTACCTGTTAGTCTGAAGTCAAGCAGAAAGCAGAGTAGATTTGCACCTTACAGACTAACCAAAGTAGGTGTGTTCTCTCTCTCATACACACAACACAGGCTTTCATGGGCTGAAGTTCACTTCATCAAGTTAACTCCAAGAGAAGTACAGGTAAGAGAAATTCACTGTATAAGTTCTTGCTAATTTAGTCCCAGTCATTTTTTTTTCTCCTAACCTTGTATCATAAGGTGTTCTCTCACAGGTATGTCACAAAATCTGACTTAATCATTTATTTTTTCACACCAGCTCAAGGCTGCTGGTATTTCTCAGATGTGGGATAGGGGGCAAAGAGCTCTATTAATTTCATGTAGAACAGAAGAACTTTTCCTGCTGCTGAAAGCATTTAATAAAAAAAGAACCTTTCGCCAACAAATGGAACAAAAAGCACAAAGCCAGTTAAGTGTAGCTACAATACCCAGAAAGATTTATTGATATGCTCCAGAACTTAAGAGTACATAACAAAGTTAAAAGGTTATAAGGACAGCCAACATTGGCTCTGTTAATTATGACTTGCTCTTGACAAAATCATGTCATGGTCATAGAAATAAGCTGACATGTTACATTAATCTGGGGGTGGCAGGGGAAGCACTTTGGAGGATTAGGATCCAAAGTGAAGTTGGTAAAACAGGAGAAGTTACCTGAAAGTGCCGAGTACTGTCCTTAGGATGGAACACAGTCACATGCACAAATACAAATTAGGTGATAACTGGCTAGACTGTAGTACTACAGGGAAAAAGACAAAGCAACAACACTATGCAGAGATACTGCAACAGGAGAATGGAAGTCACTTCACTTGAAGTACGACAATTCAGTACCGATAAGGCTTCACCTAAAATTATGGACACTGCCCACATTTCTTGAAGAGGCAAATCCAAGAGAACAAAGTCAGGTCTAGAAAATATGGAGTCACAAGGAAAGACTTAATAGTACTTAGCCTGGAGAAGAGACCAAAATGTGTGCGTGTCACAGGGAGGGGTGGAGATAAATAGAGAAGGAAATAGGAAGTTGTTAAGCCTGCAAATAAAATAAAGGGTAGTTTAAAAAGTTGGCAAGGGGGGGGGGAAGAGAAAGCTTGTCTAGCCCCCCAAAGCAAGATAAAAAATTTGCAATTCAAAAACTAAAGAGGGCTATGTCTACATCTGCATTAAGTGTGCAGTAGTTATTGCACGCTTAGGGCATTTATACTCATAACTTTGTCCTGCAGAATCTGCTCCACATGTTCTATAAGCAGCGAGGTGTGTCAGGGCACAAAGTGGCAGCAGTGTGCTTTTGAACTAAAGCATCTCCAAGGTTCATTTCACTACTTATACAGCTGTGTGCATCAAAGCACCAGGTGCTGTGGCATTTACATGTGTAAAAAATCTGTATAGTAAGACCAGGACACACATTTTAGGTAATGCTATTGTGCAGTAACCCTATTCTACTACTATGCATTAACATGGATTTTATCCACCATGCTAATGTGCAGTAGAATTAGCCTACTGCGCTTGAAGCTTCATGTACAGGTGTGCCAAAGGAAATCTACAATGAATACTAGCAAGAACTTTAAAGTATGAGGGTGGTCAACTATTGGAGTGAGTTGCATAGAGACTGTAGAACCTGTGGAATACCGCAGTTTAAACCAGCATACACTTTGGTGAGCTTTAAACAAAAGATATCCCAACTCAAGTAAGAAGTTTGACTAAGTGACCTTTATCAGTTCCACATTCCACCCTAATTTCTTCTGCGTAGAAGCCCTTAACAGGCAATTAAGATGCAAGAGCCAGCCACCACTCTGGTGACATCCTATATAGAATATCCTTATTTGTCCCAAGTTTGTGCCTGTAGTGATAAGTGAGATAAGGAGAAGGAAAAGTGATGAGAATAGATTATTGAACTCTCAAGATGGGAATTTAATTGTTCCTCTCCCCTTTCTGTCGGGAACATATGAATGTTACTGTGCACAGATATACTAAAAGTAAGTTTCTAGTTGCCTTGAGAGGGAGTGGAAGGGCAGGGAGGGGAAAAAGAGAGGTAAAGAAGCGCAACCCAGAACTGGGTAAATAAATTTAAAAAAAGATTTAAGAAAAGTGTATGCATGGACCACCTCACCCCTCCCTCCCCCCCCCCCCCCCAAAAAAACCCCCCCCCCAACCCAACAGCCTGCAAAAAAACACCACCCCCAAACCAAAAAAAGCCACAACTGAGACTCACTTTCAGCCAGCATGATGCTTCCATGTTTATTTAAAGATATTAGAGTCCTACAGACTGAGAGAAGCAGGTTACCCCATGCATCTTCTAGGCTTCCTTGATAGTTCCTCAGTTATGAGATATTATTAATACCAGATAGGACACTTTACTGGATGGATCATGGCCTACTCCTATTCAGGACATTTCTACTGGGACAAGAATATTCACCATCTCAGCAGTGCACCTAGATAAGCCAACTATTTCTTCCCAATATCTGGAAGGCCCAAAAATGGAATGTTAGTCTATGCAATTTAGTAGTAGCAAGTTACAAGCTAGTAGTACAAATAAGATTTGGATAGAGACCTAGTCCCAGGTTTACTTAAGTTTTGTGATCCTTCAACTTGGGTAGTCACATTTGGCCTACTACGTTACAGACACTTCTGATCCTAGAAGCTCTCTGGGATCTGCAGAGCTCAAACATGCCTATAAATTCCACAGCAATGTCAACTACAGTGCCGTCTTACCAAGTAACGTATGGAAAGCCATTTTAGACGCAAGTATTATTTACCCAATTCTTTATTTAGAAAGTTGGAGGGTTAAAAACCTAGAGAGAAAAAAAAGACATGAACAAGCTTGGTAAAGCTCAATAAATAAAAGAAGCAGAATCTACTTCAGAATTTCTGGCACGGAGGTGGCAAGTCAATGATTTCATCCAGGGTAGAAAGGAAGCTGGCAGTTGACTGTAGCAAGTCTGAAAGAGTTTAAAAAAAAAAAAAAGTAAGTAAAAAATGGAGCAGGCAGGTCTCAAAACCTAGCAATCATTTGGAAGAAACACCCCACACAAGTAACACACACCTCAGTTTCACATATTGGAGATAGTTTAAAAATAGAGCTGGCAATTGAGAAGTTTCAAATCTCAGTTATTTGCCTGGCGGTTTAGAATTCTCTTGAACTAGCAAGAAAGCTACAAAAGGATCAGGGGGGTCCCCACCATCCCCTTCAATTCCTGTTTTATGCAGAAGAAAACAAAAACCAAACAACCCAAAATGCCAGGCAAAGTGTTGAGGGATATGCAACTGCACCACTTTCTCCACCCTGCCCCCAGTCTGCAACTGTGTATGGCCAGTTGTAGTTTTATTGCTAGTCCTGTCTCTTCAGTCCACAGGTGTTAACAATCCATCCATTTGAGAGAGAATCATTAGCCTCCATACAAAAGAGAACCTTTTTAATAGTGTTGTTGTTCCACTACTGAAGCCTTCCATCTGCAGTTTTACCATTTGTTAGCCATCCCTGGTAACAGACAGTACCAGAGATGGCTCTTTCACCCCTGAAGGCTGTTTTTAGCTATGGTCAAAAACATTGAAATCAGGTGTAGAACTAACAGACCGTCACGTATTAGAGGCACTGTTAATACTCAGGATGACTAGATTTTGTTCTACAAGTCTGAGTAACTGATGCACATTTAACAATGACTACAGGACTAGTTAAACAAATCTTTTGACTATTTTCTTGCATTTAAGTTTCATATATTACCTAACAAATTAGCTAACATTCCAATAAGGCTGTGTTTTTACTGATATCAAAATGAATAAGCAGTCCTAGACCCCTAGCAAATTAGTAACACTGCTGGTTTCTCTTTAACTGGGGGGGGCGGGAGGGAATACAAAAAGAGGAGTTATGTTATGAGGCGATGCTCCACACCATCTACACCTTATCAAAATCCTAGATCTGTCCATGACTGCACACACCCTATTTTTAGTCTGTAGCAAAGTTCTAGCATGAAGACAGACATTCACAGCATGAAATTAAGTTGGTGTTGCCATGGAGCTTAAAAAAATAAAATAAAATCACTAGAAGTGCTTAGTACCTATAGATTTAGTAAGATGCTGCATATCATCTTCAGGAATCACTTTATTGGCTTGGCCACATCTCAGGAACAGTTGAGTCAGGAAAAAAAAAAGAGCCCACTCCAGTAATATAGTATCCCAGTCATTTGAGTCAGGGCTCTGTGCACAACCCTCTTTTCACAAAGAAACTGTGGACACCAAAACTTAGACAAGTCCTCACTTACCACACTCCCATGAAATTGGAGACAGCTTCATAGGTGATGGGACCAAGTTTACAAGTCTGTCAGAGGACTTTTCTTCAAATATCATAAGAGGTACACCAGTCAGGGACATGTCACTTAGTCTATGTTCTTCAGGAACTTCAAAACTCTCAAAGTCTGCTTAGGAAAGTTAGTTTCAGTCACATAGTATAGTTACTTTTAAGTCATACATTATAGCTGGGCACATTAAGTTTGTCCATTAGATTTGGAAATGTTTGGAAGGCTGACTCGTAAGAGGCTACTAGGGACTATATTAAATCAATAGACCTTAATGTATACGCTGTTGTGCAATATTTGTGTGTGCGCCTTTGCCCAAAGTTAGTGGACTGTAGTTAATATTCACTAGGATCTAGGAAGCTGTGGTTGTTGTATAGGGGTCGGCAACGTTTTTGGGCTGACTGCTGCGAGCAGCCTGGGCTCTGGGCAGGCCCAGGGAACCAGGCCCAGGCTGCTCCCAAGCAGCTACACCACGGTCTAGAGCTCCAGCCTCAGTCACTGTTAGCAGCAGCTGCAGGCATACCTCTGGCAGCACAGCTGGGAAGGAGGAGGAGCACAGGTAGGATGGCCCCTTCTCCACTGCAGGCTGGCACTGGCTGAACATATAGGGGCAGTACAGACCCCACCAGGACCCCCCAGGCTGCAGAAACAAGAGCTGCAACCAAGGTTTGTGCTACTGCATGGCAGTGGCCTGGCTCCCAAGAGGGAGCAAGAGCTGGGGCTGGTAGTGTGGGTTGGCCTGGCCTAACCTAGTGGCGCTCTGGCACAGGAGAGCCACCCCCATGGCACCTTGTTGTTGTTTGCAGGTTCACAGCTGCCTGCCACATCCAGCCTGGGCTCCAGGCAGCTGCTGCCCGACAGAACCAAAGCTGCTCACAGCAGGGCTTGCAGCCTCCCTGCCACCTACTGCAAACAGCCTAGGCTTCATTGCTGGCAACACTGCTCAGAGCCCAGGCTAGATGTGGCAAGCTGAGTAAAACGGCCTCATGTGGTATGCTGTGGCACATGTACTAGGAGTTGCCAACCCCTGTTCTAGTAGCTTTGATATAGCTATGATGGCAGTAAGTGACCCCAAACACCATTTTGAAAGTGTCAGTTTGTTTCATGAGCTCACTAACATATCTTCAAAACAGGGACAAGGAAAGAGATCTTACCATACCATTGGTATCTGAGGTATGGGGTTTCCAAGGCTGGGGGGCACAGTTGCATGCCAGGTATGATGCAGTACACTGTCCCAGTACCAGCTTGTAGTCCCAGACTGAGCATATTGGGTCCAACCCCCACAACAATTAAGACTGACACTGCTGGGGCCAAGTCTCAACCTTCCCCTCAGTCCACCCCTCCCAGACCCATGGGGAGGCTTTCCCCTCACAGTGTGCACCTTTATCTTCCCCAGCTAGGTTTTTGTTTGGTTTTGGGGGGGAAGGGGGATAAAGAGAGGTGTGGGTTATGTGAGAAAATAACGTATTTAAGTGAAAGCTGCAGTGTCCATCATCTACCTGGTCATAGGGTATCCAGGTCACTGCCCTTAGAGAGATTGGACATAATTTGAAGGCTTGGATTTTAAAGTAAAACAAGGTTAGCCTCAAAGTCAAGGCATATACTTTAGGCAATTTAAGATTAGTGACAGATAGCTTAGTGTTACTGAGTTCCTACCTAGAGGGTTGTAGGTAAACAAGTTTTCAATTTCTGGGTAGGTTTCTTCAGGTACTGCACTGCAACTTCCCACTTCAGTGGTCTTTTCAGTAGTACTCTGTAAATAAATAAATAAATAAATAAATAAATAAATAAAAATAAAAATAAAATATATATTAGTTGAAGGGATACTAGGTTCTTAAGTAATGACTTTAAAAGGCAAACTGGATAAGGGGTTTGTGCTCATGCACACAGCTGTAGGACTCCAATATATCAAAAGGCAAGGGCAGTGGTCAATTTGGTTGCTAGTTTGCTGTAAGATTATGTTCAGTAATATGACCCCAGCAATATATGTGGGGTCATAGGACAAGACCACCTCATTTTACATAGGTCAGAAATATCACGTGGATCATGATCTCAGACTACTTGGGTCACTCTTCCCAACCTGGCTGCCAGCAAGGATGTTGTCCCCTGCATCTACATGGGGGGGCAGCAATATCTAAACATGCTTCTCTCTTGTCCTAATCCCTAGGACCAGAGACTTAAGCATACTTAAGGATCTACTTCCTGCTAAGGACTCATGCACTTACCTTAGTCACAAGCTGCTTTTGTGTTTTTAAAGTTTCCTTCTTTTTTGTGGATTGCAGAGTCCTGTTCACATCTCCTAGAGCCTTTCTGAGAGACTTAGATGCGACTGGAGTTGCATTAATTGTTTTTCTAACAAGGGGAGTCTGCACCTGTGACCTTTCAGACAGAACTTTTCCTGCTGCAGAGAAAAGTTTTAAGATTCTTTACATGCTTTGCAAATACCACTATGAGCCATTTCAGTACTTTCTGCCTAGGAAGGAGGAACTAGTTACAGTTAAAAAGAGACTTCTACATAGGGATAAAGTTTTAACCTTGGAGAATTATTTCCTTGTCACTCCACTCCCACAAATAGAGTAAGGCTGTCTGTAAAAAGATAAAGCCCCCTGGAAGCCTTTGAAGGAGAAAAGGGTCTCAGAAGAACAATGAAAACATGTTCCAACAAGCGTCTACATGTTTGCTTATATTACTCAGACTTCCCGCACCTCCCATGCCAGAAATAGCAAGCCAGGCACATTCCTGGTTTATTTTAAAATGTTCAATTTTTAAAGGCAAAAGTGCACACTCACAAGTTGAAGGCAATCTTAGTCGATCCTTAGAAGTAGCACCAGCTTCTCCATTCTCCTGGTCTATGAATACAAGGGTTGCCATGTTCAGATCATGGAAACAACTTAAAAATAAGAGAAAGTTACATGATAATATAATAATACCTCCTCCCAGTTCAAGAAATACAACAATTGAGACCTGCATGATGAAAGTGCTAATGTAGAAGTACATTGAAAGATACTCTCATGACAAAAAAAAGAAATTGCATCTATACAGTTATACCATCTTTCTGAAAAGCTGACTCGGGTCTTCTTACCTCCATATTGTTTAAGAGTACTACTCAAAAAGGTTATATATAAATACATTGCAACTTGATGGCACCTGCCCTGAGCATAGCCCAGCCTAGGCCCTGCCAGGAACAGCCTAACAGCAGCATCCTGTCCCACACTGCGCAGCTCCAGGGACACACACCCCCATGCCCTCCCAAGGTGCACGCAGTAGCAGGAGCTGCCACACCCTCCCCCTGGGGAAGCTGCAGCTCCATCCCATGCTTTACCCCAGCTCCCACCACTATGCGCACCCCTGGGAGGGCATGTGTCCCCAGATCTGCACATGGGGTGGGACTGGCACCAGGCTATTCCCAGCAGGGGCTGAGCCAGGCTGTGCTGGGGGTGGGTGGCAGGAGCAGCAGTAGAAGGGGGCTATGGCAAGTTTTGGGGTGGCTGCAGCCCCTCCCAGCACTGCCGCCACCTGACCAGAACAGTCTAGCCCAGCCCCTGCCGAGAACAGCCCAGCACAACCCTGACCCCAGCCCGCAGCAGCATCCCACCCTACCTACACAGATCCAGGGGCACATGTCCCCCTGCCCCATGCACTCTCGGGGTGCATGCAGCAATGGGAGCTGCTCCCACGTAGCTCAGTCTAGCATCCCACCCCAGCTCCTCTCCCACCCCCACCACTGGGGCCTCAATCTGCCCCCTCTCCCAGCCCATTCCCTCACAACATATTTACCAGCCAGAACTGGCTGTTCTCCTGGCCACCTATGTGCTGTGCTGCAGCTCTGTGTGCGCACATGGCATTTTTCAGTCACACTAGGTCTGCATACCCTCTAGAATATTTTAAGTACTCCTAGGGGTGTGCGTAACCCCAGTTGACAGCCACTGAGCTAGGCTGCTTAGTTACATGCACTGAACTGCTAAAGCACCTGCTGCTTTCAGTTAGGAAGTCACAAGCAATTGACTCAATTTTAGTAGAGATGCACCAATACATTGGTCCAATATTGGATTGGTACCAACATGAAGAAAATTGTCTACTGGATATCAGCCTTATGGGGCTGATATATGCCCATACTGCATGCAGCCACAGCACAGAGCAGAGCTGGCAGTGTGGAGAGCTGCCTCCAGCAGCTAAGTCAGAAAGGGAAGTGGGAAGGAAGGGGCATTGGGGGTGGGGGTGCCCACACAGATCAATGCCCCCTGCAGCAAGGGAGGGGGCAGGTGTGGCCCAGCCAGGGCAGGGAAGGGGACATGGGACAGAGGCACAGCTCATAGAGGTGGGGGCAGCTCCTGCCATGGCTCTGCTCCATCCTGGACTGCCACCCAGCCCAACCATGGCTTTTCCCAGCACTTGGGTGGAAGTGAGGCGTTCAGCCAGGGCTGTGCCAGGTGGTGGCACAGGGCTGGGAGCAGAGCTGCAGGAAAGTTTGGGGTGACTGCAGCTTCTTCCCAGCACTGCCAGAGCCTGCTCCAAGCCCAGGGCCCTATTGAGAAAAGTCCCATGCAGTGCCAGCTGCCACCTGCCCCATACCAGCTGCCATCCATCCCACAGCAGTGGCCTGCCCCATACCATGCAGGTCCAGGGGCACACCCCTCAAGAAGTGCAAGCAGCAGCAGGAGCCACCCCCACCCCACAAGCCGTGGCTTCATCCTGTACCTCCCCCACCCCTGCCCCCACCTGCTTCCTCCCTCATCAAGGGGCTCTGATCTGCCCCTTGCACACCCCTTGCCTCCTCCTCTCCTTCCACCATACTGGACTTACCAGTCTGATTTCTGATACAGCTGTCTCCAGGTGGTATCAACCACTATACCTCCTTAAATTTCAGCCCCCCAAAACTCTATCAATGCACCCCTAAACTTTAGCAGTCCGATTTAGTCAGCAGTGAAC